TTTGTTTTTCCGAAATACCGAATTCCCAGAATGGGTAGCAATTCTGTGAGTTAGCAATTACTATCATACAATGTATGTGAATTTTTCAAATAAATTATGTATTTTTATTAACATTAATGAACGAATTATTGTTCGAAAAGTAACCAAGTCGGTTGCTTTATAAACACCTGAAATATCAAGTCATAAAGTTAGCCATACACTAGCACCCGAATATTTTTGGGTGTCACTGTATTTCTGTCGATTATTGGTAAAACTGATCCCAGTTATATCGTGTTTAGAATCATTTTCATCGGGAGAATCCTACCAATTCGTTAGAACTATTTTCATAAAGATAGGCTGCAAAATCGAAATGTTTATTTACATTTTTTTTTATAAATGCTTATTTATTCAGCCATTGACTTATGTAATAATTGACTGTCGTGTTTGTGTGTGCATAAATGCTGTGGATAGGTATATTTATTTGTTCATAACTTTTGGACAGTAATAATAACTTTTAATAATTCTTCCGGAAATGAAGATGTATTTGTCCGACTAAGGCATGTTATAATCAGTTCACAATTTTCATTGCGGTATCAGATTGCTAAAGAAGAAAGAAACATGATCCCAGCAAGAAGTATGAGAGAGCATATTGTCAAAAAGGAGACAGATAAAAGAGTTGTACCCTCGTAAGGTATAAGACGAAGAGAGCATATTGCCGCCAGAAGTAAAACAAAGATCGCTTTACAAAAACAGTACGCCCATGCTCCTATAACGTTGACCAGTTGCACTACTACATAACAGATCTCGCTTGGTAGAGTTCTTCGGTGTACAGAAGCGACGGAGGAGAAATGGCCTTTAGAGGCCAACAGAATTGGCCTCTGCTTTAATTAAGTTGTCACAGTTACGTCACTGCCAACACGTCCTTGCCAGCAAGCTTTCCAAAACATTTTCTGCTCTTTCCCGATTTCCTTAGATTTTCAGATTCCGTTCTTTTGTCTTTTCACTTTGCCTTCGCCCTCGAACAGCCTAGCACACCCACGTGGAGTTTAAGCTAGCGCGAGTGCGATCGGCTCTGTTTTCTACAAATTTTCCTTTTGTACTTACTTTACTTCTATCTTCATCTAATTTCACTTTTGTCTTTCTTTTCCAACCCGTATTTAAACTCAGCAAATTTTCACAGCGCACAGTGTTTCTTCCACCGCTGTCGAATTCGTGCGGAACCCCGGTCTAATTATTTTACCGCGAATTATTATATCATGTTACTTTAAATTGTTAAACCTTCCTTGTTGAATTTTAAAATTTGTCGTAATGTAAATTGACATTACACAAGGGTGCTGTGAGGAAAAGCATTTAATTTTTTGTCCGATCATAACGTTGCGAGTCCACCAATTCTCTCTGTTCATATGCTTCTCTTCCGGTTGACGCTTGAGTATGTTACATAACCCGTACACCGTATACGAGGACGATTTTTACCCCTTTAATGTGGACGATTGCCGATGAAAAGGAATACATGCCGAATATTTTTTTTAGTACTATCATATTTAAAAATTTCATCAATATCGGTGATTATCCGTCTTCGAGATGTTCCCTCCTAAGTAAGGTGTGCCGTGGTGCGGTTTGATTAAACAATCTTTTCATAATCTGATATTTCGCCGCTGAAAATTCTTGAAGTTTTCCGATCATCGTTGCGCGTGTGGTGCCTTCGATCTGCCACGTGTTACAATTAACCCATTTGCATCACGACTCTACCTATGCTACCGAGTTCAGACCAACATCAATCCACCCATATTCTTATTGTAGTCTATTACTACTGATGGTTTGCGGAATATTCCGCGCCCGGTGATAAACAAAAGTCGCGGCTCGCGGAATAGTCCGCGCTTCGTGATAGGTGACGATCGTCATGTGCGGAATATTCCGCTTACGGATGCAAATGGGTTAATAAGGAGGGTGTATAGAATATACAGGGTTCGGTCGAATGTTACGTAAAAGCGAGCACGACGTGATTCCTTATGAAAAAGTAAGGAAAAAACGTAGAAATCAATTTGTTCATTCTTGGCTTAGTTTTCGAGAAAATCGGGTTTGAAAATCCGCTACGTACGTAGTATGCTGTCACGGTTTACAATAGTTTCAGCAATTTTGTAATTGATAAAAATTTCCTTTGTGTTTTTCCTTGAACGCAGCAGCTTTTAAATGTCGTGTAGACATTGTTTACAAGAACAGTAGGCGCTATATGACGCTCGACGAACCGTACCTTAGCCGTAACAGCATACGTACGCAGCGGATTTTCAAACTCGATTTTCTCGAAAACTAAGCCGAGAATGAACAAATTTTGTTTTATATTTTTTTCTTACTTTTCCATAAGGAATCACGTCGTGCCCGCTTTGGCCTGCTATTCGGCCGGATGCTGTATGTGTAGGGGGGCAAATATGGGTAAGTGAGGGCAGTCTTGCGAATAAACACTAAATAAAATACGGCAGCCTAAAGCCATTACAGGAAACAAGACGAATTATTATTTAATTTTGCCCCCTTTCCCCTATAGTATTGCAACAAGAACGACCAGCTTTGATTGTGTGACGTAAAGTTCTGTTTTATCGAGATAATTAAAGATCACATGTAAAAAAAAACAACTCTTCAGAATTTGTATGAAATGGAGAACATTTTTCGGTTAAGTTAAAGTGTCACTGTGATATTTTTCTATAGTTACATATTTTATCGTGTCTTTTCTGCTAAAACTCACAATTTTCCTGCATCTCCTTACATCGCCAGATCTTCACATTTTTCGAAAGCTATAAAGTTATTTAAATGGAACAGTTTAAGAAAAGGAATCAAAACTGGAGTCATAGAATTGTTTCGATCGAAATTGGTGATATTCTATAAAAGAAGAACAGAAAATACATTGTCGTCATAAAGGTGACAGAGGATAGTAGAAAATGAGGAAAAGTGTATCATTAATTACTGACAAAAAGTTACCCACTCTTGCTTAACATACACACAGAAAAAGTCCCACACATTATGGCATGACTTAAGGGGAGAAGTCCCTATAAATCGACCGAAATATCGAAAAAATTTTTTTTTCATAAATCGCTTCTAAAACATTTCAAAAATATATTCTCAAAATTATAGACCAAAATTCAACTCTGTATCGATAGTGTAGTCTGTTGAATCAACGTGCTTCCGATCGCGGAGCACACTAACTGTACGCGTTCACAACGTTCGTCTAGTCTCTTTACGCGTTTTTCTCGAAACCATGTTTTTAAAATTAACGTCAGGAATAACTCGAAAACTATTTGACCAATCAACTTCAAATTTTACACACTTTTAGTTTATAAGATTCCTTAGAACATGAACCTAACAGTTTAATCAAATTATTAATTTTAACCACCTTTATTTTTTTAACAAATAAAGCGCAAATTTTTGCGAAAATCACACCAAAGTGCCGCCATTTTTTAAATATGCAATTTTTTGGCACCATTTCAGGTTCATATTCTTACAATTGTCAAATACGTTGAAAAAAAAATTTGTTGGTCCCTTTCGGATAACTACCAGGGATGCTACAACTGACGCCGTTTTGCACCTCGAAAAAGAACCAATACTGCTCTATTTCTTTTGTATTTATCATAATTTCATAATATCATAAACTTCCAACAGTATTAGCGCATTGGTTTCTTTGCAAAATATTCCTAAAAGTTGATAGAAAACTAAGCCGTTTATAGGGACTTCTCCCCTTAATAACTTATCAGAACTTCAAAACTTAAAATTTGACAACATATGCATGAAGGTTAATGAATGCCACATGCAGTAAGAACAGAGACGATGAAATAAAGAGAAAATTTGTGTCTTCTCTGCTGCATCCTATAGAGATAATAATTTAAGAATAGCAACAGTAAGGTAAAGGTACCAGTAGTTGACCAGTTAAGAGAAATCCTCCACACGAACAATAGTAACCACTTGCTCTATGATTAAATAGCGAGAGTCGATGCCTGAAGATACTCTTTAAGCCTTCTAGATTATGTAACAAGACCAATTTTTAAAAAAAGTTGTTATAAAAATTTTAAAAACATTTAAAAATTCAGTTATTGCTTTAGAAGTTGACCACTCTTAAAAATGAAAAAACTAGTAATTGACCCTCTGTTCGTTAAAGGAGGGTTCAAGCAACAATGTTGGCAATCATTTTAGTATCGTTTATTTTCAACAATTACCAGCACGAGTTATAATTAGAATGGAAAGTAGAAATAAAACAATTCAATTCCATAACAAGTTCAATTCGGGAACAGAGTAGACGTTGCGCGTTCTGCTCGATTTCGTGGGCTCATTGATATGAGAAACTACAGCCTTCCACTCATAGTCCAGCACATCAGGCTTCTCTGGCCACTTCCATAATCGCTGGATCGGTCAATAGTTGACCATGCGGTCATCCACTAAAACGCAGTATGCTACAAAATTTAGAACTATATTTTGTACTTCTAACAAAGTTAAATGCAAAATGGATACATTATAAATGGTAAACAAATTTAAATAACTCACGTCGGTAATTTACCACCCCGGTCAACTTCTAAAAACTTAGAATAACAAGATTCAGAATTTGACCCCCCAATAAACTATTGCTTTTTGTGGTTAGAATAACAAAAACGTTGCATTTATCACTTATAAAACGCTGTAAGAATTTAATAAGTAAATAATTCAGTCACGAAGAGCTCGCAACGTATGGATTTGTTTACCTGAACCGTACAGCTGTCCTTAACAGAAACGTTAAGGAAATAGCAATATAGAGGCATATTACTTACCTTAATGAATTTAGACGTCCGTTGTTACTACGCATACTTCATTTCACATGTAATTGTTTTGAAATTTAATCGATAGATGTCTTGGCATGTCAGGTGAATTTTTTTCAAAAGAGCATCACTCATAAAAACCTTATTTTTTTTACGTTTTTCTAAAAACTGGTCAACTACTGGTACCTTTACCTTACTCGTTACGTAATATTAGGATGGTAAAAATTAATGACAAATTTCCATGAGCAGGAAAGTGACGAGACAGACAGTGGACATGTGGTTAGTCTCGCACGCGACACCAACATCTTCGTCGAGCAGCTGCGTGGAAATATCGAGTCCTACCCACGTGGGTGGCATGTCGTCTTCTGGACGTGGTGGCTCCGGCGGGTCAGGTGCCACGACGCCTGTTCGGAAGATTTCGGCTCACGAGTTTGAGCGTGGTGGTTTGCTAAAGCCGATCGTGAACACGATCGACGGGACGCCCACCTTCTTAAGCGTCTCACCTGGAGATTCGGCACAACCAGGTCAGCAAGTCGGTTCGGGAAACGCAGGCAGACCCCAGAGGCGATCCAGGCATGAATTGAGGCACCTTGACGAGAAGGATCTCATCTTTGAATTGGTACTACTACTCTTACACTCCTTTCGTTCTCGGAAACACCTTTCTTTATTCAATATTAATAAGTTTTTACTCTTTGCGTAGTATTGGGAACTGATGACGGTGGATCTCCATGTGTAAATCGCCGATATTTATGATACATCGTGTAATGTACTTTTTGAAAAGATATTTGACACGTATCTCTTTCATGTGCAAATTTGGAGGACGAAAATAGCTTTCAAAAGTGATGACAAATTTTTTTTTCAATATCCCAGAAACAATTGGATTTAGAAAAATAGTTGAAATATAGGTACGAAATGCGTGTTGTTTAATAAGATCTCTGTCTATGTATCAATATATTTTTTTATACATTTCATACATTCACAGAGAATGTAAGAAAATTATGAATGGAACGAGGTTCATGTCACAAAATTCCAATTTTGTATCTTCCTGTGTAGTTTAATATCTAATTGGACGTGAGAGTAGATTAATATCATTTTGTGACAAAAATTAACGAGAAAGTATTGGTTATATATTATTTAAATAAATCGATATTTTTATAAACTATTTACACGAGTCGTTTTCTGATTAAAAAGTACAAATTTCGCATCAGTTGAATGACTTTTTTAAATTCAACAGCTTTCTACCCCAAATTCGAGGGTTAATTACACCCTCTGGACTTAGGAATTGGCACGCAAAGAGAAGTACGTTTCAAATATTTTTTCCGAAATTTAAATTATATATAAGATTCATAAAAATCAGCGATTTACACTTGGGAAACATCTTACCTTGTTAGTAAACGTCTAGGAGGTATAGTAAATATTTTATAACAGTAAGTTCTTGAATCATTAATTTACGTTGTATGAAAATAACTAAAGCGTACATATTAACGTTTAACAAGTGTTGACACACAATTTGTTTCTTATTTACCGTCCACTTAAATATGTATATGTGTATACATTCGTCTATAAGTCACTGGTCAAATGCAGATTTTTTTGTAAAATTTTAGAGAAACAGTATACTTAGGGCCACGTGTTTAGGCTTGCACCGCAATCGACACAGGACAGTGCGGTTTTTGCGAAAGTGAATTTGCCATGGATTGAAATTTTCTCGAAAATTTGTGTCTGGCTGGAAGACAACCCCAACTTTCTCTGGATAAATTGTCCAGCTAGATCATCCTCGACGGCAATTGACTTATCGTAAGCCCACACGCCGTGAAAAGAGGAACCTAGAATTTTTGGGCCGACTTGGTGATTAGGGAACCTCTGCGCAACGTCCTGCAGGTCCTGTTTACAGTACGAAGTGCATGACCTGCAGGCATTGCGCAATCGGGAAACCAACCCATTTTTTAATTTGACAGTTCCAGGTTCCACTTTTCTGTATTTCTCTCCAAGATGCGGCTTGGAGGGAAGATTTTTGAGACGACGGGCACGACGTTTTCAAACTTCAGACAGAAGGCTTTCGAATTTTAATTTATCTTTCGGACTTAAAATTAAACTTTAACTCTTTCGGACTATTTGAACTTGTGGACATTAACATATTTGTGCCGAATATTGGAAATTTGTAATTTATAGAAATAAGTGTAAATAGTAGTAAATAAATAATGTATGTGCTTTATATCCAATTTCATGAACTGTATAAACATTTTGGTCCTTCGAGCCAGATTTCGCGAATAAGTGAACTGTGGATATTTTGGTGAACTGTTATTACACAAAATGTTATAAAATTCTATAAGAACTCCAGTAATATGGGAGCAGTCATTGACTTGGATTGTCCCATTCAACGGCGAATCAACTGCCATTCAACCGGTGTTATCCTTTTGAGGATCTTGGACCTGACCGACTTCAAGGAAAATCATGGCTGAAAGGTCTGTACAAGGTGTCAGGAGCCACGTGCCAGGGACAATAGATCTGGACATCGGCGAGAAGCTTGTGACGTTTCGGCGATCTTGACACCTATCTGTAAGTCCTTCCTCGTTCTTTTCTACCTGTGTTAGCGCAACATGGACGCCTCAATGAAAGCTCTTATTAGTGAACGTGGAAAGGTCAAGGCTTCTCTGACTCGCTTCAAGGGATATTTACATTCGTCCGATGACCGTGTATTAAATCGTGCCGTGCTTGAGATTAAATTAGGGAACGCAGTACAATTTTCAGGTCAAGCTAAAGTATCAGAATCAGAGTTAGAGGAAGTATGTGTAAACGAAAGCGAGGATTTTGAAAGAAACGTGTTGTGAACTTGTAGCTGCTGCGAAATAGCTTTCAGGTGTTACACGAGGCGCCCAACGAGTATATTTACAAGTAATTCCACAGGATCCGAAATACCACATACAGCAGAATTCTGATAATCCGACACGCTCAGGACTTCAGCAATGCCGAATTGCCAAATATGAATCGATAACATTTGTTAGTATCGTTAAAGTCTAAAAAGGGCCTTATAGCATAAATTTTGCTATTAGATAATTTTATAGATGTAGGCGAGTTTGAAAACTTTTGGCGACTAGACGTTTTATGGCGAGTGAGTATCAGAGAAAATAAGTTAACTTTCCACCATTCCAATCTTAGCACGATCCACTACCCTCTGCATCTGGAAACACGTAGCTAATAGAAACATTTTTCTAACTTCAGTAATATTAGAATCATCCTGAAAGTTCCCAGGGCTATAAGTCGTTCATTTTGAAAAAAAACATAACTCCATTAAGATTAAACATTTTTATTTAAAATAATTTCTGCACTGTTCTTACAAGAGCACATTTGAGACACATTTGAATCTCTGGTACGCAATAATAATGCCTTGTCTAACATGGAAAAGTTCCATTATGTAAATTCACCACTAAAAGGAAATGCTGCTGGAGACATCCAATCCCTAGGGGTTACTGAGATAAATTACGTGCTAGCTTGGAACGCTTTCAAGAATAGACTTGAGAACAGGAAAACGTTAAAATATATAATCACATACGTGTAATTTGTTGGAACCTCCCGACATTATCAAAGGACATTTACTAGATTGAGACGACTATTAGACGATGTAAACAGTAATCTTTCAGCACTCAAAACACCTGGAGAATCGACAGAATATTAGGACAGCCTCGTGATCTATCTTTTAACCACCAAGTTAGATTTCGCGACAAAACAGGACTGGGGTCGACATGAATCAAAGTTTGCGATGGACGTTACTCTACGGAATATGATTGCTTTCCTTGAGGATCGCTGTAGGTATTTAGAAAAGGTAGCGGTAGGCGTCAGGTACTACAATTAGATTGCAACCCGAATCGGATACAGGTATACCCTGTTCAAAATGAGAGTAACCTCGCTCTCGGACCGATTCTCGTCCGTTCTGCGCATAGACAGAGAGCGTAGCAGAGGGTAAGACGGAGAAAACCGTAGGCGGTTAAGTGGGGGTTTGGACGTTCTAGTGGTTCTAGCCCTACCTTAGGCACGTCCCACGCGCAAAGCAAGGTTACTCTAATTTTGAACATAGTATAGTAACCGGAAACGTGAGCAGGTAGCGGTGTACAACACCAGTAATCAATAGTTATGTTTGACGTGTAAAGGGGCTCATTCACTGACACAGTGTAATGAATTTTAAAAAAATTAACACCAACAGCACGAATTTCACACATCCAAAAAGCTGATGCTTGTTTTAATTACTTCGGATTTGGGCACAGAAATAAGGACTGTACTCACAGTAACTGCAAAATTTTTAATAAAAAACATATTTGTAGGCTTTTTTGGACGGTTTATGGCTTGGCCTGCGCCTCTTGGCGAGTGACAAACACCAGACCCGGGTACCCATCGGTTCGGCCCAGCGATATCTTTGCCATTCGACGGGAGTCGGTTCTTAGCTTCGGTAATAGACGGACGCCGAAGAGTCCGAAATAAACTACTTTGCACGACATCCTGATTTGAGTAAAGTTCATTATACCACTTCCTACATATTCTTTTACACGTCACACAAACCGTTAAAATAGGCACATAGTCCGGAAGTTACCGCCTCCGCTGCTTGAATCTTGGACACAGAATCAGAAAGAACGGATACCAATGCCATATTCTTTTACACGTCACACAAACCGTTAAAATAGGCACATAGTCCAGAAGTTACCGCCTCCGCTGCTTGAATCTTGGACACAGAATCAGAAAGAACGGATACCAATGCCATTTCAAAGATACTGAATTCTTCGAATCCTTGTATCGCGCGATCTAAACACGTCGTTGAAACTACCTAGTTGTCAACGGTAGCCGCGGACTTAGGCATGCGTGTAGGGTGCTATTGGATTCAAGATTACAGTCGCATTTCATAAAAGAAAGGATAATCAAAAGGTTAGGATTTAGGTTAGGAATTAGAGGTTTGAATCAAGGGGCACGACGTAAAACGTCTGTGGTATTGATTTTCATATTCGATGGATTCCAAATTATTTCTTTGAAGTCAGTGGACGTTCCAATCTTGCTAGAATTTAAACTTGCTGATTTATATTTTCATGTGATTAGTGAAATCAATGTGATTATTGGCAATGTATCAGTAGACACCAGTTGAGGCCTGACCAATTGATTCTTCAAAAAACCCAACCAAGTTGCATTATTGCTACAAACATTAGCCAAACAAAAGTCGGACTGTGAAAATTGCGCAGTTTAATAGGGAAATGGAACACGTGCTTTCTCAAGGAGCTAATGCTACAAAAAATGATTATTATGAAAATCAAAGAAACCGCAGTAAGACCTCTGTTAAGGGATACATTTGTGTTTTTGTTTGTTTCTCTATAAAGGCAATACGTTTAGAACTATCAATAGACCTGGCAATCAACGCATTTTTGAATTGTTTGAAGAAGTTTATTGCACGACGATGAATATGCCATAATATAAACTCTGATAATGGTACAAATTTTGCAGGTACTCGTAATGAACTCACTGAACTCTTTCAGGCGTAATCTAGTATTGCCTAATATTCACCACATCAAATAAATTTCAGAATTTTTATCTTGTCAGAGAATACAGTGGCATATGATTCCTCCTCGTGTACCTCATTTTGGA